TTTGTTCCCAGGAAATGTAACTGTGCTGGATGATGTTCACAGGAAGCAACTTTACTGTGAGAAATACAGGCTAGTGGGTCAAAAGAACTTCTGGCCTCATCTCTTTACAGAGATTTGTGATGCTTCAAGCAGGGCATTAACCCCCCCACCCATCTGTCTCACATGAAAAAAGTGTGACTAAGCCAGCGGTTACTAAATATGGCTGCACATCACAATGGTGTGGACAGCTAATTCATAATGCTGATTCTTGGGCATAGCTCCACACCGACTGAGTCAAGGTGCCTGAGGAGCAGGACTTCGGAATCTGTTCATAACAAAGTATCTATGAAGACCTCTGTTAGCCCCAAGGTCTCTTGCCTTATAAAATGTGTCTGTGCTTAGAAATTCAAATAATGAGAAGCTCAGCAAACCCCTAATTCTTGGACAATGTCTTGGCCAGTTTATCTCGGAATTCTTGCAGGAGACTTCGGTTTCTCAGAGCATGATGCTTTGTTTCAATCTCTATCTCCAAATGCGTTGTCAATCTTATTCAATCTGTTCTCTTCTCTTCTCTCAATGTTAAACAAAGTTATAATGAACTGTACCCTCTTCCAAGAGTAAAAGTATCTCTAGAGGCCTGGGAGTGTAGGTCGGGGACACACCACTTGCCTAGCATGCATGAGGCCCTGGACTCTATCTTCAGCACTGAGAATATGAAAATTTGAAAATGTCTCTCTGACTAAGAAAAAAACATTATGCAACTGCCCAGCACTTAGACACCTTCCTGTCCTTAAAGGTCACTCTGACCCACGCACACACGAGGAAGTCTCCTACTGGGGCTTCAAATTTCTGCTCTCTATTTTGTTCCTGAGTGGCCTATGCCTAGTTCTCCCAAAATGGGTATCTCTAGCAAAGCAGTTTGTTCCTCACAACAATTACCTATTTCCTAGAGTCTAGGATGGCCCTAACACGTCCTAAGATATGTTTAGCACAATGTTAAACAAAAGGGCTTTGAGGAACAGAAGTAACGACAGAAGGTCTAAAGTACCTTTTCTTTAATATAAAGTTTCGTTTAGCTTCCATTTCTTAACCCCTTTAGCAAGTACAAGGGAAGTAAGTTACCCTACTATAAGCCTACATGACATGAATGCTAGCGCTCCCCTTGGATGACAGAAGTAGGGATGGTCAGCACTTTTGTTCTCAGCACTAAATCTGGGTTCCAACCCCTTGCGTGTTTAGCAAGCTCCCTAGGAGAGGCCAGCCCATCTGCCTTTGGAAAGCACTGAAGCAGCTAAGTGCTAGAGTTACTTTCAGCTTCAAACTCTGCTCTTCTCGGAAAACAAATGTGCTTCTGCAGTAAGGAGTGAGGGGACTTTGGAGTCCACAGCACCCGGATGCAAACTGCAGCTTTGTCACCAACCGGATGGACCACCTTGGGCAAGGTAGTGGTGCTAATGCTTACGGGAGGCCACCGTGTGGGACTTGTGCTCTTGAACTAGATAACCAGGCCAAACCAGAATGCAATCACTCACAGTAAAGAAGCAGGTAAATCTCCCAAACAGGCCCACTAGCCCTAAAAATAGGAAATTCTACTCTACTTGGCTTAATAAAATATGAAAATTTCCTCATTTTTAACCCTTACAATAAACACGAAATAACCTGATGTTACCCAATCAACTGGTTTTCTACCATTGTTTCCTTGTTCCCACATTACAAATCCACTGTCTGCTGCTACCCCTGGGCAACTCTCATTCTAATTTGTAGAAATAATAGAAGAATTAGTGAAATCAGAAACAAGAGCCAAATAAAAATCAAATCTACGATTAAATTTGTTGTAATTTTGGCTTCTGATCTGTTACTACTGAGACTGGGCTTCCACATCTGTAAAAACGGGATGCTGCCCAGTTCCTAGAACTCTATTAGGTGATACAAGTGAAAGTAATTATCAATGAATGCTGGGTTTTTTTCCTCTCAGCATATGGCAGGTCACCTTAGACAAGATGAGGGAGTCAAGACAAGGCTCACAGGGCCGGGCTTCTCTAAGGAAATGACTGTACTAAGGGGCTTGCGAAGTCATTAGCTGAGTCAGGAAATTACCTCTCTGGGCAACCGTGAGAGCACACACTGCTACTCGCCTACTCCCGCATTCCCTGGTGCTCACATGTTCAAGGTCAACATGCAATCTCAGGGTAAAGACAAGCTTAACTTCACCTGGACCAAAGGCTGCAGAGCAGTGATGGTGCTGCTCTGCGTAACCTTCAAGTATCCTGAAAGCTTTCCTCTAAACTTGCAGGCAAACAAGGGCTAAGGCAACCAATCACCTGACTTGCACATTCTTGGAGTCCCACAGCATGTGGCTGGAGGTCACGTCCTTCTGGCCTTGCTATGAGCTTGTCTAGAATACAAAGCATCATCCACGTATTTTACTTACAGGATCTAACAAAGTGCCAGGCCCACGCCAGATAGGATACATTCAATAAAGCAATGAAAACATTTATTAATGGATAGATGGATCAAAGGGGTTTGAACTATGTACACTGGCTGAGCAACCACGTCACATAATGTCTCCTAGAACTCCCTGAAAACATAAGCCTTTATTTCATAAACCAATTCTGGAAAGTAGAAACAATGCTTTCCAGTATAAAAGTGCTTCAATCAAAACTGTCAAGTGCAACAATGCATAAAACTAATTCATTCCATCCCTCATTCATTCAACAAACTCACTAAATCTTCATTATATGACCGGCACTATGCCAAGTGCTGCAGACAGAGAAGAAAAAAGGTGCAGTCCCCAGAGGACCCGGGTAGCACTAAATGTTGAAAGCTTCCTGAGTCTCCAGGAGAAAGGTGGTCTGGGAGGACCACCCACTTGCTGCCCAGGGACTGCAGAGTAACAGAGGACACACGGCCATCAGCTCTATGGAGCCTCTGCCTTAAAAGATTTCTTTTCAACTGAAAAATTTACAATTCAACACATCTTTACTAAATGCACATTACATTTAAGACAACTCAGATTTCTAAGATAATGACAACAGTCTCGACCTTCAGTGTAAACTCCAGCTTAATAGCTGAAACATTTTCCTCTGGTTAAATGGTTCTCAGGAAAGGCTACTAATCTTTCTTCTCTGTGCTGTCTTGTTGACATGGAAGAAAACCTCACAGTAAGAAGCTGGCCACCCTAGTGGTCACTCAGCATTGAAGTTTTCTCAGAAATCAAGATACTCAAATTCAATAATGCCTGGTAACAAATCATATCACAAGTTCAAAGACTTCAAAGGAATATGGGTTATTTTATACACTGCAGGCCAATGGTGGCATTTCCCATTTTCACCAGGGTGCGCGATGTCCATCTGTCTTGATCCTGAACCCCCAAGCACTCCTGTTAGAGAGGCTGACAAATGTTCAACACCTATATTCCCTCTCCCTATAACAAAAACTCCTTCAGGAGCTTCCTGGTAGGACTGCCCCACATTTCCTGGTTAAACAGGAGTGTACGCCATGTTCTGGTCCACATACACTTTTATTTAAGACATGTTTTCAGCACAGTGTTTCCATCCCTGTGTGGAGTTGGTACATGGTCATAACACATCCAAATTCCTTCTGCTGCTGATCGTCCCTGCCTGTCACCCTTCCTCCCTCCATGTGCTGATGCTCTGCCCAGCTGAGAAAGATGTCTCCTACTTCCTATTACTACTTTTATTTTGCTCTTTGTTTATAATTTGGGTTCTTATATAAAAGAAACCACGCAATATTTAAACTTGTGTGTGTGATTTATTTTGCTTATGGGTGCAAGGTACATCCATTTTCCTACAAATGACTCCAGTTTATGCTGTTTTGTGACAGATTAGTGTAAATACTGGATTTTCTTCATTCATCTATAGCTGGAGTATAGGCTGTTTCCAAGATTGAGCAATTAATTGTGCTGCTATAAACATGGGTGTGGATGCATCACTGAAAGAGGATGTTTCTCACTCATTCAGGAAGTTTCTTAGAAGAAGAAGAGCTGGGTCAAAGAACTCCCTAGTTTCAGTTTTTAAGAACTCTCCATACTGACTTCCATAATGGTTGAACTAGTTCACATTTCTACTGTCAGCATAGATATCTCCTCCCAGACCCCAGCCTTGCCCGCATCTGTTATCATTTGACTTCTCAATTTTGACCTTTCTTTGAGGATAAGATGGAACCTCAGTGTTGTTTTGATTTTGCGTTTCCCTGATGGCCAGCAATGTTGAGCAACTTTTTGTGTATTTATCAGGCATTTGTACTTCTTCTATGAAGTATAGTCACTTTGCTTGCCTATTTTTCAACTGTGGATCTCACAGAAGAACTAAAGGTAACGTTCAATCCAGCATCTGCTTTCGCCCAGTGTTTCACTGTCCTCGTCTGCTTCCCACCTTCTTCCATGTCCTGCCAGCTTCTACTTTTGGCCAGTTTCCTCTAATGCTGACTTCCTGCCCAACAATTGGAAATCCAGGGTAGGAATTGTCTGTATTGAAGGTTTTGTATTATTATTCTCTAAGTAATATAAAACTATGTATACAGCATTTATTGTACTAGGAGTTTTAAGTCATCTAAAACAATTTAAAATATATAGGAAGAGGTCTACAGTTATATACAAATGCTGTGCCATTTTACACAAGATACTTGAGTATCCTCAGACTTTGCTCTTCCAAAGCTGTCTTGGAGCCAATCCCTCCAGACAGACAGAAGGAGGGAATGCACTCACTCCCAGCAGTACCACTGGCTAAGTGCTTTAAAAAAGTAAATACAGGTGAGTGTGGGGGGAAAGCCTGGAATCCCAGCACCCTGGTAGGCTGAGGCAGGAGGATCACAAGTTTTTGAGTTTCCAATGAGCAATTTATAAAGATGAAGCCTCAAAGTAAAACTGGGGGCTCCTGAAATAAAGCTCAGTACAAAGCCCTTAGGTCTAACCCCTAGTTAAAACAAAACAAAGCACAAGAAACAAATGCATCATTTCCACATCCTACCATCAGGACAAAAGCACCTACAGTGGCTCCACCACTACCTCTGTGGCCCTCGGGCAATGAGTACATTTCTCGTTCTCAGTTCCTTCTTCTGCACAGGAAATAAATCCCACCTACACAGCTGGTGATGATGATGAGAAATTGTACCAAAAAACCCCAAATCTTTCCCTTGTCTGACACACACAGTAAAAGTTAAGCATGATGTACTGCTCAAGTTATAGGCAGGTGAGACTTTAAATTGTGCACATTTGTTGAATAAACACACATACTCTACATATCAAATTTCTTGACACAAAAAGTAACGCTTCCATTGAGAAACAGTTCTTTTATATAGAAACATACCATTTATTCAGTGAGAAACTAACTTTTTACCATTTGTTTTGAACAATCCCCCCAAGTCATTTGATTGAAGGCACATCATTGCAGCATATATTTAATATTATCATTATTATTATTTTCCACAACATTTAATACCACATTTCCTTCTCCTGCATGATCATTCCCCCAATAGAAGTTGCCAAAAGGAGCCACAGCACGTTCCTAACAAAGACAGAAAACTCGATCGGTTTCTGTTATCAGTACAATGATTCAACAAAAGCAAAGCCAAGACAGGTTTAATCAGTTGTGAAACTTGGAAAATGAAAATCAGCGCATGCGTATGTCATGGCCATGATCATGAACACCCCCGAGAAGTGAAGAGGGAAAAGTGAGACACATCTGCTGCTTCTCACCAAACTTCTACATAACTTTCACTTTTTTGTTTCTCTAAAAGGCATTTTTCTGGGGTTGCAGGTGGGAATCAGGTGCCTTCTCAGGCCACTCCTGGGCAAGCCAATGGAAGCAGATGCATGCGAAATGGAAACAGGAGCCCCCAACAGACACACACACACAGGTGGGGCCTTTCTGATTTCCATCTTGGCTCAGTCCAGAAGAAAAATCAAGGGTTACATTCCTTTAAAAAGTGCAGCCCAGCTGCAGGCACACCAGTCCATTCAAGTGCTCAGGTCAGTCGTCCTATCTCGCAGAGCTTTCGGTACCCTGAAAACCTTCTTCCACGACCCATCTCCTCCTCCAGAGTCTTCTGAGTGTGATTATTTTGTCCATAATGTCACACATCATGTCAAACAGTATGGAGCTTTCCGAGGAACAACCATGCAGGGGGATGATCTAATTTAAGAAATTCATGATCAATTTTCCTAAGCAATCACCTTCTAACTTCTGAGCCAATGCCTGGATTCTCAGCATCCAGATTTCAATAGCTGGAAATCATGCCAGAAAGACAGACCTAGGAGCCTCACATGGACTGTCTCGGAAGCTCTGTACACTCTCCAAATCTCCACACCACTGAAAGGTTCTATAAAATATTAAGACAATTAAGATAACAAGGCTGATTTAGCTATGCATAAAGCCTTTATAAAAATACTCCCTGCAATCAAGGAGAAAAAAAAAAAGGATGTGTGTAAACATCGCCTCTAAGTAACTAGAGAACCCTTGAGCTTTTTCAGCTCCTCTTTCCAATGTTTTGCAACTCCACTTGCTCAGCTCCTCTCCGAGGTATCAGTCTGTTTTCTTCTTAGGAAGAGAATTCAGAGTCCAAGGCTGCCTTGGTGCATGGGCTTGTGGTTTGATTGGCAGAGAAAGTATTAGCAGGAGACTTACAATATGTAAGTAAAAGTACATGGACCTAGGAAGAAAGACACGTGAAAATTACACTTTGAAGCAAGGTATAAATGGGAAGTGCCATCTGATCACATCCCCTCCAGGAGCACAAGACGAGGTGCTGCTTTAGCAGCAGCAGTGAGTCTGCACCAGGCTTCCCTTGCTTTCCTCCACAGATTTTTAGGTGAGCAAAACAAACCAAACTGCTCATCTGCTTAGCAAATGCCAGGAATCCCCATTACTCAAAATCTAAGGATACATAAGATCATATTAAAATCCAATACTCTGTCCCCTAAACAGAAACACATCAAACACTTTGTCCCACACATTCTTCCTAAGTACAAAGAGCTCTTCCTGTGTGTTTTATGAAACAGGTGCTTCCAGATTTGAAAACCTAGTCTACAGCCCTAAAAATAAGTTTCATGCAAACTAATTAGAAACAAGTTTTACTTTTGAGATTTATTGACTTTCATTGCAAAAGCATCGTATTCAGCAGGAGTGTACACAATGTAAAAATCCAATAAATACTGGGCGTAGTATAAGAATAAATGCATGGAACTAGAAAGTTCTTACATCAGCATAACTGTTTTAGATTCATTTGAAAACACTGAACTTACACTTTCTCTAATGCGTTCTTAAGGTCAAAGGAAAATAACGCTAAAGGAGGAGGAGTCACAACTGAATTGCGCATCATCCCTCACCTTCCGTGATGTGTCAGGCACATGCCTCACAGGACCAGGTAACTCCCATATGCCCTAAATGGCTCAACTCTTTAGCAAAAGAAATCGCTCCCTAAAAATGTCTATGTAACAGTCAGGAGCACTAATATATCTCGATTCACTTATTCTTTTCACTGAAAATTTATTGCTTACAATGTACAAAGCTAAGTGCTGCAGAGGTAGCTCAGCGGTAGAGTGCTTGCCTAACATGCACAAGTCCCTCCTTTCAGACTCCAGCACACACACACACACACACACACACACACACACACATTAAACTGGATTCTCACAAAAGGCATAAGCCTCTGTCCCTTCCTTTGTGGTATTAAAACAAAAAAAGGCAGTGTGTCTTTGGTATGCATAGGGAACTGGTGCCAGGACCCCGCAGACACCAAAATCTGCAAACGCTCAAGTCTTGGTGTAGAATTCGCATGGAGCCCACATACACCCTCCCACATCCTTTAAATCATCTCTAGGTTATTTATAATACTAAATACTGATCGCTATAAGTATTTTTTGTAAGTAGTGCAAAAATCCTGTATCCTACACTGGTTAGGGAATAATGACAAGGAAAGAGGTCTGAGCAGGTCCAATAAAGACACAATGTTTTCCCAACTATTTTCAACCCGTGGCTGCAGAACCTATGCATGGACACACAAGATCAGCTGCACATGGTTAATGTCATTAATGTAACAAAGTGGTGACAAGTGATAGTAATTGACCATCTAACTTACTGTCAAAAGGACGTTACTGAGGGTGATACAGGCTCTACAGTTAAATGCTCAGGCTGAACAAGTATGACTGGAATCCTCAAAGGCAAACTCTACATTGGTAACTAAAGCTTTCATGGGCTACACTACATACTGGGCATGCGTGGTCCCTCTGTTTTAACTTACTTTTGTATATGACCTAATCTACATAACAGCAACAAATTTCAATCCCCGCTGACATTTAGTAGCCTATTCTGACATTCCTTATTTCTCTAAAATTATAGGGATTCTTTCTATTATAAAAAAATTCAGGTGTAACCTTCACTGAATATCCTAGGCACTGTCCTAGGTGCTCAAGATCCAGATGAGCAAGGCATAGTTTGTGCTCTCACGGAATGTCTCTTACAGAAGTTTCTACACAAATTCTGACACTGAACTTAAGAACCAGTTATCTCATTAAAGGCAAATTACCACATCAGAATTGGGCTTTTCAAAATGATCACAAAGATGTATCTTTCACAGCACATTACTGTGTCTGTCAAACTTGGGGCTCACCAACAATTTAAAGGGAAAAAGTTGAGAACTTTAAAGCTCTGGTTTGAAGATGCTCTAAGTACATTAGGAGTTCAAATGGTAAGTGGCAAAGGATACACTGGGAAATGGATTTACAAGTAAGTGCTGTACCCTGCAGCCTCGAATGAGGAATAGAGCTAAAACAAAACCAGGTTCATTTGCACTGAAGGCCAAGCCAATTTACCAGATTCAACAGTTCTCTTAAGAGATTCTGAAAACACGCTGCAAGGTGCCATCAATCTGTGAAGGCTGTGGGCAACAACACATGGCACTTCATCAAAATAAAATTGAAATTTCACTTCTTCAGCCTCACTGACCATGTATCATGCCCACATATGCTGATGGCTAATGCATGGGAATGCTAATGCACACAGTAACAATATTTCAGTCATTCTAGAATCTTCTTGGACAGAGCTAATCTCAACAGGAAATTTACTTTTATTTTTCTTTAATGTATTTGGTTGTTACAGGGTCTCACTACACAGCTCAGACTCATAGTGATCCTCTTGTTTTCAGCCTCCCCAGTCACAGGATTACAGGTGTATGTGTACCATTATGCCTAGACTCTGTGGCTGGCTCAGCCCGCCCTGGGGGTGCGGCTGGCACGGCATGTGGTGCTGGGGATCCATGAGCTTGCCTAAGCAGGCACTTTACTCTGCTGAGCTATCTCGCTGGCCCAAAAATTTACTTTACATGCATACCAATATTGAAGTATTCACAAAGATAACCTTAGGTTAAATCATCTCTAGGGGACCAAATGGGCAAAAGAACTTTATTTCATTTTGCTCAAGGGTGTTTTACAAAATTATTTTTAGATTCCTTCTAAAAAGAAGTGGAAAACTGCTTGATAACAACTGCATTTTGCCCTGGATTCCCTGCCTAAGTACAAGAATTAGCATATACTTTAGTTGGTTAAATGCATGTTAGCACAAACACGTATTTAACTTAGTCTGATCTGCAAGCAGTAATTTGCTTCCAAAATAGGTTCGTCTACAGAAATTTTTAGTAACTGTTTTACTAATCTTGCCGTTAAAAGAAATGTGAGTCTAAATGTCAGGTCTAGCACTTTCTCGCTGTGGGAGTTGTAGTCATCTTCTCTGAACTTGCTTCCCCACAAGACAAGTGGGGAGAAGGATCCCCACTCTCCCTTCGGCTCTCCAGCCTCCACCCGGGGTGCTAGGGTCACAGGCCTCCTCAGCTGCTGCCCTTCCACACACACCACACCTGTTTCAACTTCCTCCAGGATGAGTCAGATTCCTGTTAGATGCACCCATAGAGCTTTGCGCCACTCAGAGCACACTCTTAGTGTGTGGTATAGATGGGTCAGTCACTGCCTGTCTTTTCTAGCAGGTCATCAGCTCCGTGGGAGCAGGAAGACGTTTTCTACTTGCTTGACAGTATTTCTGCAGGTTCTAGCACAGTGCCCAGCACACTCTTGGTAGTAAACGATACTAAGTTGAACGTAAACATTTTACATCAACATGGTAAATACAATATATTCCTGAATAAATCTCACATGCATCAGTATCATGTGCTTAGAGTATCAGGGCTTATAAGGAAAAACCTTGCTAGAAGCAGACAACTCAAAATCTAGAAAACTTGCTAACAAGAGAGCTCCAGACACAATTCACACTTATGACAACAATGTGGACAGCCCAGGCAGATGCTGAAGGGGACAGGAGGCTGCTTTCTGGAGGCATTAAACATGCAAAAGACAACACAAGGCCAACGCTGGCTTAAGGGCACTGACCAAGTGGGAGGAATGATGCAGGACAGTGCTGTCAAGGGGCTTCCAGGGAAGAGCACTCAACCCAGTGATCTTTGCAGGGAGCACAAATAGCTTCTACTCTTGTAACAGAGGGTCTGAGGGTGTCTTTACTGATTGAAGGTTGTAATTCTCTTCCTATTCTCCTGCATCCCTTGCCTAGAAATACAGTGTATGATCTAGCACAACTCCCATATTATGCTGCTGATACAACTTCTCAACATCTCACTATTATTATCACAGAAGCACTGCAGAATAGACTTTATTGAAGTGCGTTATGTAGTTCTTTCCACCTTCTTTTGCTCTAACCATAAAAAAGTATCCTACTTATAGATATTGATACACAGGTTGGGTAGTAAAGTTTCTTGGACCCATTCCTGACCAGTCCATCAACTAGAGTGTTTTTAGCATATAAGCAAGGTATGTTTGGGTAGGTTTGTAGCTGCTGAAACAAATGGACAATGGACAGATGAACAGGAGAAAGGGCACACAGATTCATTATATGCACGGAGTCAGATAAAGCCTGAAACTCAAAGAGAGGGGAGGGCTGAGGTTGTTACTGTTCTTTATTTTAAAATTAGCAGGTTTGTGATGCCTGATAATCACATTACTCTCAGGAGTGTGGTACCTACATGTCTTAATCATTTTTACTTCTGCTTCCCTCCTCACTCTCCCCTCCCTGCTTCCCTGACCTTCTTCCCATTTCCATGAAGTCTACCTCCCCGTTTCCTATCATGTAACTTGTATTTTGCTCTTTACATTATTCATAGTGTGGGTTTCTCAAGTAAAAGAAAACATGTGATACTCAATCTTTTATGTCTGATTTATTTTACTTAGTATTATGGACTCAAGGTGCATGTGTTTTCCTACAAATGAATCAAATTTGTCTTTGTTCATGGCTGAGAAGTACTTCATGGTGTATATACATTTTCCTTATTCATTCATCTGTTCACAGGCTATTAACTGTTGATACACTGTGTCAACTTGAGACGCTTAAAAGTTTAAGTGACTCAGCAGGGGGCCAGGGTCATCACTTTGTAAACCTCCTGAGCCTGCGCAAGACGGGGAATCTGAGATGGTATAAGTGCTACACCCACCCTAAGGCATGTAGCCTGCTTGCAATATAAAGGAGGAACAAAGCCTTGCCCTCCTCCTTCTTGTTCTTGCTGCTTCTGCTGTTTTCAGCCACCATGAACTGTTGCCACCCTGCTCTGGAATCAGCTGATTATGGACTGAAATCTCCACAGTTGTGAGCTAAGTGAAACTTTCCTTCTTTCATTTTGTACTGAGTAGTAGCATCAGGTATTTTGTTTCAGCAGTAAGAGAAAAGTAACAACACGTGGGCCAAATCTTGGACACTCCACGATTTAGCTAATCTGAGTTGTGTTCTTACAAACACAGCTGCGCATGTATCAGCACAATAGGGCATCTTTAACTCTTTCAGAAAGGAATCTAAGGATGTAGAGAAGCTGAAGCTTAAGGGCCTTCTTCATGGGAGAAAGGGAAGCAGGAGCTGTAGGCAATTTTAGAGCAACGACAGCTGATTTTAGAGGGGGTGAGTGGGCCGGAAGAACAGGCCTTGGCCTGTGACAAGTTTGCTGGGGTTCTGGGTGTGCTGTCAACTCTAGTCTTTCCATAAATCAATCCCCTGGAAAGCCCGGCCTTCGAGGAAGAAGAGGGACTGCAGAGAAAACTCCTTCCTGCACCTTAGGAAGGAAAGAAAGGCAAGAGACTGGTGAGGGACGGTCAGACAGATTGATACTACTCTAGTTCAAAGTATTCAGCATGCCAAGGCATTCTATTTTGAGGTGTCATTTCCTGAGCCCCAGCAATTGCACAGTTTTTCTAAGTCAACATTTTAAACATACAGCGCTCCTAATTTAAACTAGCAAATGTTGTATACCCATTAGTTATATAAAGTAGCATGTTCTGAACACAGGTCATCTGCCAGGTGCCAGCCCAGGCCCTCTACACATTTTCCTCATTCAATTCCAACACTCAGTCCTCACACCAAGTGCTCTGAAGTGGGTTCTATTCTTTGGCGCCTCTCATAGTGAGGTCACACATCTGTTTTCAAGGCCATGTGCTCAACCATTTCACAATAGCAGAAAACATGACTAATTAAACACAAGCACAAAACAATAAAAGTTGGCAATTATAGGTCAGCCATCCACGTGGAGCACGGGTGTTTGAATACACAGGCCTGGCAACCTTTCCCTAAAAGGCCCTGGTCTCTCGTGTCAGCCTCCTCCACCCTCAGTTCTACATACTCTCCTGTACCATGTACATCTGGAAACATCACCCTGCACCCCCCACGCACATCCCCAAGGAGAACCACCAGAGTACACAGGGTGCGGATCCACCCATCCCAGCAGCCAGTGGCTCTGGGCGCCTTCTCTTGCTTCCATCCTGCTCTAAGAGCCCCCAGGACCTCCAACACAGCTCAAATGCCAGGAAGAGAAACGAAGGGCAGTAATCAGCCTCCAAATTCTTGACCTGGGCCCATCCCAAACACACTGCCTCAGCACCCCATACTGACATTCTGAATAGCTTAAGGGATTCCCATCCACCTTCTTCACAGGAACTGGTATTTTTTCATTGGTTTCTCTGGGACAGGAACAGCCACTTCCTTGTAGATCTTCTATGGACCTCTCTCACAGTGCAGTCATACGTACAAACCCATAGTTCAACCTCCGGACATTACCGATGCCTAAGTCAAACACAGAAAACGGGAGTGTACTCGGCAGCAGAGGAGGGCCGTGGGAACTTACCTGTATAAACTGATGGTTGGTTCAACTGCCAGCATCACAAAAGGTGCTGCTATATAAGAGACGGTCAGCTGAGTGGCAGCCCAGGTCGCCGTGTCATAAACAGCCTTGAGAGCTTTGGAAGAATGGAAGTACTGTCTGCAGTTGCTCCTCACCTGCAAACCAAGGAAGGGTGGGCAGGGAGGAGAGCGTAAGAAATAAAACCACCTTTACTCTCTGCTTGCAGGTGGGACACCTCCAGAGCACAGGCTTCAGAGATGAGCCTGCCGCCTGCGTCCGACTGTCAGCTAAAAACACCAAATGCCTTTTCTTAGTAAAAAAAAAAAAAAAAAAAAAAAAAATACATATTTGCTGCAGAAAAATGTTTTTAAAGCAACTAAGCCATTTTTTTTTTTTCTTCTGAACATCTCCCAAAGGAAAACACTGTTTAAAACTTGGCCAGCTTCCCTCAGTGCCTCTTCTATTTATATGTATCCACGTTTATACTCCTAATGCCACCAATGGATTTTTTTAACCTGCTCTTTAATTTAGTAATATATCATGAACTTTTTTCCATGTCAGAAAATATTAACCTCCGTTACAATTCTAAGTGAATGCATACCCCTGTAAATAAATCTCTATTCTGCTTCCTAATTATTTCTTTTGGGTCATGATAATACAAATAACATTACCATTACTAATAATAAAAGCAGCCAAATTCATTAGTAGGTTTATGATCTGCCAAGCTGGGCCAATGTTTTATATGCATCAAGAACTTAGCATGTAAGCACGATATTGCCATTTTAAATTATGGTTCTGCAGTTAAAGAAATTGAGTCTCAGGCAAAGAGACAATTCTTTGAACTAGAAAATGGTAAATCAAGGGATATATTCCTTCTTAGGTCTTCTGACACTGGTGCCTAGACTTGCCTCCAGAAAGACACCTTAATTCCACATATAAGACTCAAAAAACAATACTGGGAACAAGGACTGGCTCACAGGCACTTGTTACTGCCTGCATTAGATGTCTCCTCCAAAGCCTCATGTGTTCACGTGTGGGGCTTTGCAGAGGCGGCTGGATCTAGGATGTGTGAATACAGACGAGGGGTGTGCGATAACTGAATTACTGACTGGATTAGTGTGGTTCTCCCTGTAGCTGGATGGATTTGCTGCAGATTAAATGCCCACCCTGGGCTGTGAGTGGCACCAACCAGCAGGCTTGCAGCCTGGATGGAATACGGATGGAAAGGGAGACTACTGCTCTGCCTGCTCTCTGCCCCAGGCTGTTCCTCCTCTACCACGCCTTTCTGCCACACTCCCTGCCTTGGAACCAGCCAACTATGGACTGATACCTCTACAAGCTAGGAACTAAAAATAGATGTTTCCTTGTTTAACCTGTGGGTATCAGGTATTTTGTCCCAATGATGAGAAAAGTAACTAAAACAGGGAAGCCCCAAAGTAGGAAAGGCTTGTGTCCAGGGCTACCTACTGAGCTATGGACTCCTTTCCTCAGCATTACGTTCTTGAAAACAGACCAGTGGTCCACCCATCAGCAATGTGGTATGAGATTTTATTAAATAGGGACCTAAGACTTCATTTCTTTTGAGTTCATTCTTCTAGGAAAAAAAAAAAAAAAATGGAAGCCTTGTTCTATCAACCCTCCTTTATTCTCTATAGAACTTTCTTATAAACAATATTTTCAAGCTCTCCAAAAGAAAAGATATACACAAAACAAAGCCTTTATGCTAGAGTTGGCGACAATGATCTAAAGATATTTTAAGGAATAATATTCTGAATCTATTAACAAGAAAAATTCTGACCTTTATTTCAGAATTCGTTCTGGCCATCTGTTCTTTAGTTTTCTTTTATAGTCTGAGCAGTTATATGAATGAGAGAAAAGAAAATGTCTTCCCTCTTTTCTATGTACAAATGTGTACAATAAGCATTTAACTTTAGAAGTTTAAATCAGTACTGACAGCAATCAGTTATCCATCTTTTTCACACACACATTCTGACAGACGTTACTAAAATAGAAACTCCTCCGGGGAGGGAATCTTGTCCACTGGGGTAGCTGGGTACCTATCGCACTGACTGGCACAGGGTAGAGTTCTTGAAATATTGGTAGAATAAATAAATTTAAGCAGGAGTGACTAGCTATTCCGGAGCTCCGAAATTCACACTGAAAATATAGTTCCACAAATGTCATTGAAACCTCTTGGCATTTCAAATAAGGCTATAATCAAAGATCAAAATTAAATCAAATATAAAATGTATTTGACCATGAAGGCACTCTGAATTACAGTCACGTCTCTACACGTCCGTCTTCTTTGAAGACAGTCACATGTTTCATTTCTCTATTATCTTGCTTTACAACAAGCAAAATGCAGGAAAAATCTAGGACAAATGAAAGGCTCTTAAAAAACCCTGAAGAACCAGAGTCATGAAATTCAGCAAGCACTTCATGCACACTGAGCTGGATCAGATATGAGAACATCAGAGGTCAAATCACTTTCCGCGAGACACAGCTCCTACAGCTGCCACCTCCATGACTGTGCATGACTTTGTGAGGTATTTAAGATGATGGGAAATTAAGTATAGTACAGACGAAATGCACTCCTACAGCGCCGACCCTGTTTGTCATTATCACCTGCAATTAGTCAACTGTGTGTATTTATAACCTGTAATTCATAACCTGTAATAATGTGCTGATTTCTGAAGGTAATGGATATTGCTCCTAAAATTCATTTTGTTTTACAAATACCCTCTGTAAATAATACGAAGATAATATCATCAATTTCACAATGTCTATAACGTGAGTTCCTATAAACTGAAATATGTCTCTAATGGGAAGACTTCCACATGTTGTCTGACTTTTCAAATTATTATTCCTACTGTCCCTCCCACCCCTAACTCTTGCTAGGACCTAACTCATAATAGATGTACAAGCATCAGATTGTTAAAGAGAAGCCTACATCCAAAGAAAGCTTACCACTCTAGCCGCTAATGTGACAAGGACTCCAGTTAAGAAGGTGAAATAATACCCAGGGTAGACCCCATGCCACAGGGCAGACAGGACGAAGGTTAGCACCGTAGGGTACCATGGAACCCGCTCATAGCAAACACTGCAAAGAGAGAAGAACAACAAACTTCAGGTAAAACACACCAGAAGCTTCAACGACACCTGTTTCCCTTTGGACTAGACAGCGAGGAAATCATCGGGCCTCTTACTGATGGAGCATCTGCCGAGCCCTCCAGAAGGACTTGCAGTCAACTGCAAGAACCCTGCATTGCCTTTGTTTCCCTTTGCACTAGCAGACACGCAATTGTTTTAGGAAACACTGGCTTGGCCTTTTCAGAAAATGTTACAAATGTACGTGCAATGTATATTACAGATGTATGTTTCTAGGTATAAATATGCACAATATACATTTAAATTTAGTAATCAGTTATCCATCGTATTCACATACAGATTCTGACAACTTCCTCTATCTAAAATGGAAATTCCTCAGGGGAGGGAAGCTTGTTCATTATGGTAGCCCAGGACCTACAGCACTGATTGGCACAGGGTAGAGTTCTTGAAAATATTTGTAGAATAAGAGCAAATAGCCCCTCATTTGTAACAAAACATTACAGATTTTTAACTTCTGGACCTCACCACACTACATTTGATAAAGATCTGAATGATTGCTTTTTACCTACAGTAGCAAGACTTCCAGCACGATAGAAGCTGATTCTGCCAATGGTCTAACCCACTAGGGATGCTTCAGTAAGTGCCACTGGTATTAAGCATTTTGGGATGGGGATAAGGTCGACGGGAATGCTCTTCCCATGGAGTGATTCCATCTGTCTTGGCAGTGGCTTCAGCCCACAGTCCATGTGCCAATCACGTGACCTGTTCAGGTCTCACAGGGCCCATCGGCTGTCATTCCAGGAATTCGCCTTCAAGGGTAATTAAGTTTTGAATCTCTTACCTAAAATGCTTGGGACAAGAACTGTTTTGGGGGACTGGGGAGATAGCTCAGTGGTCTAAGGGGAGATAGCTCAGTGGTCTAAGCACCTGCCTGGCATGCACAAGGACCAGGGTTCGATCTCTGGTACCGCATGTTGTGCTGCCATGCTGGCCACTAAAACTGGGTGTGGTGGCACATGCCTGTAATCCCAGCACTGGGGAGGCTGAGACAGGAGGATCACTCCGAGTCTGAGCTATGCAGCAAGACCCTGTACTAAACACATAATTTTTTAAAAAAAGAACTGCTTTTTGGATTTCATATTTTTTGGGTTTTAGGATATGTTCATAAACATACTGGGTGTTCTTGGGGATGGGACCTAAATGCAAAAAAAAAAAAAAAAAATCCAATTATTATATTCCTTACAGAAGGTATATAACCTGAAAGTAATGTTATACAATATTTTTAGTGTATGTTTTTTAACTAAGACCTATCACATGGGGGCAGATGTAAAATTTTCCACTTGTGACATCAGGTTAGTGTTCAAAAAGATTCAGATTTTGGAGCATTTGGATTTCAGATTGCTGGACCAGGCTGCTCAGGCTCTGGGGTGGCACACTAGAGAACGGCAGCAAATACATGCCCTGGAGTTCTCCGGCTGTTTTTTATTAAAACAAAGCGATAACGGATTCACCCCAGAAAACTCCACCTAAAAAGATCCAGTGGCGCCTAAAGAATCTGCCACACGGTTTACTCAGTGAGGACTCCAATAAAAAATAGAAATCTAAACAGCTGGTACCAATCCATCACTGTATCCACTATCAAAAGCAACTGACTCACGCGCAAACTAGGGATTATGGCTGCTGATCTGCAAGAGACTATATCTGAGCAGAAAAACACAGGAGTGAGAACTTATGTATAATTTTTCTTTTGGAAATAAGAAGTAGGTACATCATGTATTTATTTCTTACTCTTTGATTACTTTTGTATAAATGAAATATTTTACTTCTGACATTTTAAAAATATTGTTTTCATTTTTTATGTGCACACATGTATATGTAGCCACCTGAGACAGTAAACTCTTACTGGAAAATGCCTCGATACATTTGGAATGGTTGGTATAAAGAAAAAGATATTTATGTTAAAATTATTTGTAAAATTAATTAAAAGCAACGCTGGGCCAGGGAGATAGCTCTGCGGTCCAAGCACCTGTCTGACAAGCACAAGGACCTGGGCTCAAGATCCGGTACCACATTCTGTGCCAGCCCTGTGCCATACCGGCCACAGAGAATGGGTGTGGTGGCACATGCGTGTAATGCCAGCGCTGGGGAGGCTGAGACATAACAATCACTATGAGTCTGAGCTGCACAGTGACAGCCTGTACCAAATAAATAAATAAATCCTAAAAAAAAGCAATGCATTTAGACTAAAATGCAAAAACAGCCTATCCAGATCAACGTATGGAAAACACCACATGAACGCTCCTCGGAACCATTCCTAGCTGTCTCTCACTGTAAACCAGGGTTTTGACCTCTAAACAGTGCTCCTGCTCACAAGCAGCAGGACCTGCTTTACCACTGAAGATTTGGATGCTTTCTCTCCAATTGTACAATCGGCCCATTCACCAGTACGGCTTGCTGGCCTTGAGGATAGCGGAGTATTAGTTCCCTAAGAAGAGATGGCTTTAGTTTAGAACATGAGAGCAAGCAAAGGACAGAGAATCATCAGAACAAATGCCAACTCAAGGAGCACACACATCTGGAGCACCAGACAGCTTCCACTGTGAGGCATGAACACAGCATCTTCAGGGAGTTCACTCCACAGTGACCTTTCAGCTGAGCCAGGACTCCTCTAGGCAGCCGGCAGCCTGGCATGGAGATCAGGCGCCTCCTACTGGACGCAAAGCACTTCGACTCATGTTTATCCCTCGAGTTGTGTGACACTGGGCGAGTCACAGAACCTCTCTGTGTTTTACTTTCATCATCCATAAAGCCGAAATAAAGTTTCCTGACATTCCATGAACTCAACAGGAGACATAAATACACAGCACGGGCACACAGCGATGGCGTGTTCACTATAAATCTCACGTGAACATGTCCCAAGACGGAAGTACTTAAATTGTTTTTTGCTTTCCTTACCATTTTAGCCACGCCGCTGTCTGGATGTTCCAGTTTTCTAAGTATATCTTGAGACTTGTGGCAGTCTACAAAGAAGAAAATGACAGCCACCATTAGCTTCAAAACAAACCCCCTAAGGGATAGAAAGTCCTCCCCAGGAGCTCCTTGATGGCAGATCCCAAGTGGCATTTCAAAAGTCGCTACTGACAGGAAAAAGTAAATCAGCTGTCCTGCCACACGGTGACATTTTCCGGTGCTTACGAGACTTTGCTTTGCAACTCCAACTTGGCCTGCAGCATGCCCACTGCCCTCCAAATTTATTTTCAAATTACAGGAAAGCTGAAGGAGTGTTTGTGTGGGTTTCCATTCCATTCTGCTTTTTTACAACTAAGCACTCTAAAAGGGGACATGCCACAGGAAAAGTTCAATTGCGCAAATTTAGTGCCTTTACAGAGATGGTTTAAATGTGTTTGTCCGCCTTGCACTACGTGGCCATGTTCAAACTAGGTCAGGCTTGTGCAGTGGATTCTATAAATAGCTACGTAGGTTCAGTTGCTTCCAATTGTGTCTGGAATAGAGATTTTATGCATGACGGGGTACTAATACAGAAAAGCAAACAAATAAATATCACCCAACTCACAAAGGTTAAGCCCATCCACCACGGAGGATGAGACATCCCCAAATAAATGGCCTTGCTCATTCTCAAAGAATAAGTTTCATCAGAGCAGCAGTAAGTGTGAAGCAAACATGAGGCCCACAACTGCTAAAGAAAGTATGGTGAAAATGCCGCTCTCTGTTTTAAGTTTCTTCAACCATAAGAAAATCTTGTACAGGCCTCATACTGGCCTAATGCAATGCATTTGGAAGGGAAGGAGAAGAAGAGAGAAGGGAGAGCGGGAGGAAGGAAGACAGATTTCTACATTTCAAGGTATTATTTCAAAGCCCTAAACAGTTTTCCTTTTAGTTTTTTGAGACAGGGTCTTCCTATACAGTTTGGGCTGATCTTTTGAACTCACAGTGTAATCCAGGCTGGCCTCAAACTCAGGGTAATCCTCCTGCTCCTGCTTCTAGAGTGCTGGAATTACAGACATGTACCACCTCCCTTCCCCCCCGCTACAGTTTGTTTAGCTGTGTTCCTATAGTTAATAAAATGCTACAGAGGATCTACAGGCTCTTGTGGGCAGAATAACCATAGCAGCAAGTTACCTTAAGTAAATCAGACTTCCTTATTTTTTTAGCTCCTTATCCTATATCAAATAAAATGCAAACTCACCTTTATCCTTCCACTTTTCTTATAATAAATACCTAACTTAATAACTTGGCCCTTCACCCTGAGCACCTGCCTGGAACGGGAGAAATCTTGACTTTTGGTGCGCAGCTGGGATGCACTAGTGGGAAGCCAGCAGTCCAGGGAGCCCCTCCAAAGGGCTTAAACCCACAGAGCCCCAGGGCAGCCGGGAGGGCACCTGACTTTGGAGAGAAAAACACTGTAGTGGGCAAAGGAACAAAAGTCATTAAGATAGCCAGACTCTCTGACATCATCTATACAGGAAAAAGACCATTATGAATGACCTATAATGACTTTTCAAAAATTGGGGACAGTATTCAAAAGGCTGGAACCTGTTCATTAAGACATGGTTTTCTGCGACAGGATGCTGCTTCTTGCCTCTCACAGGGAAACCAACAGGCAAAACACGATTATTCACTCAGAACAAATTCTAGGACTAGGGGGATAGCTCAGCAGCATAAGCGCCTGCCTGGCAAGCGCAAGGTCCCAAGTTCAATCGAGTTCAATTCTTGGTTCTGCATACTGTGCCAGCGCCGTGAGACCCTATGTCAAAAAATAAATACATAAATAAATAAAAATAAAAAGAGAACAAATTCTAGATTTTGGATCATGTTCTTCACGTAACATTTTTTTATTGTTGTTCTTTTTTTATTTTTTTGGCGGAACCGGGGATTGAACTCAGACCATTATACTTGCCAGGGAAGCGCTTATTCCACTGAGCCATCTCCTGGCCCCTTCATGTAACATTTTTAAGGCCTTCTGCCCACAAGAACCCCTGGATCCTCTAGAACGATCCAAAAATGACTATTTTGCTCCTAGTGGGCCCTAATTTATATAACTGATCTTTGTTGAGTCTAAGGGACTCATTCATCAGATCACACTGTGAGCTTTAAGGTGAACACAGGATACAATGTGGCAAGGTAACAGTCTGGGGGCTTCCGCTTCTTCCTCCTTATTTGGCTTTTGAAGTAAAAAATGACTCTTTGCAAGGAGGAAGAGGAAGAAGGAGGAGAAAAAATACAATCCTACCTATAAATCTTACCATATTTTGTTAAGTAAAGGCAAATCACCTTTGCCGCAGGCATCTGAAAGCAGAAAGCCTCAGGCTGGGGAGGTGGCTTCTCCTGACTCCTTTCGGCCTAGTTGCCACCAACACTAGGCCCAACCCCTGTGGGTAAAAGGTATGGTCTCCACATGTCCTTCGTTTCCTGTGCTACCTGCTTCTGCCAGCTCTCCAAAGACTCTGTGTCTGCCCTGGGGAGGTAGAAAACCCAAACCAACAGCAAAGATGGGTCACCTGGCCAGAGAGCCAGCACCTCTGTGTTTTTCCCATCCAGACAACACAGTAGGCTCTATGGCCTGGCTTTCCCATCCACCTAGTGCCAAGAAAGCAAAAAGGCCAAGAATGACGTAGACCAAAGAGACCATGTCTGATGGTGAAGACATATAGACAATCATGGTCCAAGAATAAAAACAGGGCAAGAGAAAAACCACACCGATTTAGTGGCCTGAAAAAAATGTCCATAATAATTTTTCTTAAAAGCAAATAGATTATAACTGTTTCTAAAGGAACCAAAGAAAATACTTGACTTTTCAAATCTAAATACAGGAGCTTCCTTCCAGTCTGTGTTCTTGACTGAAATAAATGTGGACAAGAGAAAATGACATTTGCTCTTTCTTAGGCTGAAAGAGCAAGAATGTAAATAACACAAAGATTTTCCTGGCTATTTTTTTTTCCAGACTACTGTTGTCCTTCTTGAATGACTAAAAGTGTTAAGAAAGTAGGCATTTTTGTTCTTAAAGAACAAGAGTCTAAGATGCAAACTATCCAGGAAGCTGTGAGGTCTGGCATAACCAAAAGCAGCTTTTCTTCCCTCGGACGTCCTGGTGAAGAACTGCAGCAACACCTGAAATGCAACCCTGACCACACTCAAAGCACACCGTTTCCTTGATTCCCTGTGGAAGTCTGATTCCAAAGCATCACCCACTCACCTCAATTTTCCAGATGTTTAGGTTGGAAAGCAGATCCCAACAGAAATTTCCATTCTTATCCACACCACTGAACCCGAAACCAGCTGCATTATGGACTGCATCCGCTGTGGATTTCAAAACAATACATTAGGACATGGAACGAAAGTCACGGTGCTGCTTTAAAAGATGCCAAAGCTCTTCAACACTAAGAAATAAGGGTAATCCCTCAGAAATAGAACACAAATAATATTAAAGGCCCTGGTATCACTGTGAGCCAGAAAAATATTTTTGATGGTCCATGATCTAGATTTTTATTCATTCATTTCATAGCAGTGGGAATCTGCTAAAAAGGTGCTAGGTGATTGTAGAATGCAAAAAGATGAAAATAAATGAGAACTAAAGGAGCTAAACAAAAAGGCAAGCAGCTTTTAGTCACTGAGTTCAACTGAGAGGAGGAGACAAAACTACCCCAAAGCTCAGAAGCCCAACAGCAAAAAAACAAAGAACCCGAACAAGAGCCGTCACCGCAGATGGCAGGGCAGTAACTACGAAGCACACAAAGTCCATGGGAGAATCCGTCCTGGAAGAAGGGGCACTGATCCCAAACACGTCCACATGAGCTGCCAGCAGCACACCAGAGCTGACCAGGCACAGCTGAAAGTAGTTTAAGACTCAAGGACCAGAGCTGGGGCTGTGCACTTGGGCCTGGGGTAGTGGGGGCCACACGTGGACACCAGGACCAAGGCCATCCAATCCATGGAGTCCTTCTAAATGCTTCTGTTTTGAACATCTTTACTTTCTTTGCTGACCTACAGGAACACACCCTCCTTTACAGGGACTATTTCACCTCTAATCAATTCCTCAATGAACCACGTATTGATCCAACAAGCCCAATGCACTTAAGATGATGAAGACGCTAATTTTTTCTTTTAATTTATTTTATTTCAAATTGTGCTAGTACATTTTCCTAAAGGAAATAATCAAACTAACTGAGTCACAGTACAGAAAAGACTTAAGACCTGAAGGAGATTTTTAGAGAAATACTTCCTGTCTGATTGCAAGTCCCAATCAAGATTGCCTTCAAAAGAGTTATTCTAACAGCATGATCTGTTCTGGGCTGACAGCAAAACTCAGTGGATGTGGGTTGCTCATGACCTTGCTTTTTGTTCACTCATTTCATCGCATTTAGAAGGAAGAAGGGAAGGGAAAGGGAAGGAAGGAAGAGGAGCAAAAGAAATGACAAAGTCTTTCTGTCTTATCTTTCTATGCCAACTGGACAGACACTCAGTAGCAAAGAAAAAGAACAGCAAAATGAAAGTATGTGTGTACCTGAAGGAACTGAATGGCTTCGCATGTGAGGAACCAATATGCAAAGTATAGCGATAAATGAACTGAAAGAAGCAGAGCCCTGGAGGCCCGTGTGGGCAACTCAAGCAAGAACTGGACTTCTCGAGACCGGGCCAGCACCACCACCACTCCTACATTCATGCTTCCACCTCCAATTCATTTCTGGCCCACGTGGCCAGACCTAAAAGAGCAGAACAATAGCAACTCTGCGTAGGCCCAGGGAGATAGTTCAGCAACTGAAGTGCCTGCGTGGCAAGCACAAGGTCCTGAGTTTGATCCCAGGTACAAAAGGAAGGAAGGAAGGGAGGGAGGGAGGGAGGGAGAGAGGAAGACAAGACAGGCAGGCCGGCCAAATATCTTAACGGATTAAAGTGCCTGTAAGCAAGCACAAGTGGCTATGGGTTCGATTCCCAGGCCGGCATACCAGCCCCGCCCCCAGGGTGCACTGAGACTGCAACTGAGACTGGGCATGGTGGCGCGCCTGTAATCCCAGCTCTTGGGAGGCTGTGAACAGGCGGATCACTAGGAGTTCAATCTAGTAGTGAGACCCTGAACACCCTGTAGACCCTTCCCTAAAATACGAAAAAAAAAAAAAAAAGAAAGAAAAGAAAGAAAAAAAGAAAAAAAGAAAGGAAGGAGAAAAGAAAACCAAACCTTTGCGTGCATGCCTGTGTGTCTGTGTTTTAGTGCCCACCCATTTTCCAGGGCTCAACATCCTCTAGGCATTTTTCATTTAATCTTCAGTGTAAAGAGGTTGGCAAGGGTGCGCTTGGAGGCACGCCATGTGTATGCTCATGGATGCATCTGACTCCTAGAAACCTATCCCCTAAATACATCATAAATATAACCATAGCACCTACTTGAGCCAGGCATGTTGGGCACACCTGCAACCCTACAAGTGAATGAGAAGACTGCAAATCTGAGCCCAGCCTGACAAGGTGACATTCAGAAGACCCTGCCTCAAACTAAAAAGCAACTGGAGCTGGGGTTCTGTGCAAAGGCCCTGGTTTGGTCCCTGGTGCTAGCGGGGAAGAGCACTGTTTGAAAGGGCTGTGCTCAGCACTGAGCCTGAGTCAAGGTGACACTCAAGAAATGTTGGCTTTCATTATTACATCATCATCATCATCATCATCATCATCATCATCATCATCATCATTATTGCCTCAATTAGCCTATGAGGAAAACTGAAGCTAGAGGCGTCATAAACATTAAGAGCAGTCAGGTGTGAACAACGCCAGAATCGGAATACTCCAATTCCATGACCTGATAGCCACCCTGAAAGACAAACAGTGAACGACCCGAAGTACTGACCCTCGGGACAGTGGAACCCTTCACACAGCCCCGGAACTTACACTTCGTTTTTGTACAGACCCGTTAAGCGATTCCAAACTCCTCGTCCAAGCTGCCTTACCTTGAGTGTGAGTCTAAGCTGCTATTACAGATAAATTCTGGATACTCATATGTTAGAGTCTGTGATCCTTGAAACACAGCCTGGGCTACAGTTGCATCTCTCTAATTAGTACCAATTAGCAGCAGGGAAAGAACTAGAGAATTAGATGGTAAATCCAAAGAAAATAGTTATATTATTTTAATATAAACAGCATCTAGAACTAGACTAACAGAGTGTGGCTCAGCTGAGAGGCACTGCAAGGCCAAGTTTAAGGATTAAATTTATAATCACGTGTAATTACTACATCAATTATATGTAAACGGCATCTCAAAGAGCAGGATAAAACAATTATTTGGTTAAGCAGTTTAAATATTCCCTGATATACTATTCATTGCTTCTTTACTCATATAATACAAAGGTTAATTTTAGACCAGCCCATGCAATCTACACTGTAACAAACTTCCAATTGAGGCTATACAAATTAATGAAGCATTTCCACCGAAGCAACTAAAGGAAGATAAAAGAATATAGGGGTTGGAAAAGAAAACGAGCTCAGTCCACACAGAAAGGGTCACTTGTTCACGCCAAGCATCTGGGGAACCACCCACAGGACAGACTGGTGCAGACCCCGGTTCCTGTCACCGCCCCCACCCATGCCGCGAGTAAAACCCCATAACCCACCTCGTGGCCGACTCCCTATGAGGCCACGGAATGGCCTTTCTTTCCTCATAAGTCAGGAGCTGATTTTGTCCAGAGGCCAGCCCTCAAGCCTTAGAATGCAAAATATAGGAACAGGAAGGGTAGGAAAAAAGGAAGAGAAAAGGAAGGTGAGGAAGGAAAAGGTAGTAAAAGGAGAAAGCTCCTTCTCATGCCCCGTCCCGCCCTGCTGCACATGCACGCTGAGAAAATATAGGAACACTAGTAACCACTTCACATAGAAAACATTGCCATGTTCCAAGAAGGGCTCCAATCATAGTAGATATAATAGGTACACATAATACTACAAAAGAAACGATGACTTTTAAATAATAAAGCAGGGGCTGGGGATATAGCTCAGTGGTCTAAGCACCTGCCTGGCAAGCACAAGGGCAAGGGTTTGATCCCTGGTACTGCATGCCGAGCTGGTCCCAGAATCCCAGGTGCACCATGCTGGCCACTGAAACTGGGCATGATGGTGCACACCTGCAATCCCAGTACTGGGGAGGCTGAGACAGGAGGATCACTATGAGTATGAGTGCGTAGCAAGACCCTGTACCAAATAAATAAATAAAAGATTACAAAATAAATTGATAATAAAGCAACAGCAGAACCAAGGATACGATCAAAGGAAACCTTTAACGCCTTCCTCAGTTACCAGGGCACACCCACCACTGTCTCTGCATTCCCACCACTGGGACAGCTCTTGGCATGGACTGCCTGGTGACTGAACACGTCTGTATCCCCATACAATGTCACTAGCTTGAGGCAGGGAAGGTTTCTGACCCAGCTTTGAATTCCTCCCATAAGTACTGATTTTAAAAATACAGTGTTTGCTTAAATTTTTAAAATGGGTTATAGTAAAACAACACGATGCCATCCGTCCCCATCAAAATCCTCCCCCTCCCTTTGAACACACGTCCATTATTTTTGCCACTTCTTAAAGCAGTTCTGGAAGTCTTCTCTCGCGAGTGTCTTTACAAGGTCTGGTCAAAAGCATGCTGAGCAACGCTGCTAGGTGCCAGCCACCACCAAAGCAGGCTCCTGAAAACATTACGGTGCATCCTCACCCACCTGACCCGGTGGATCTGGCACGGGGCAACTTCCGCTTCTCCCCAAGGTCAAAATGAGCATGAAAGATAACTTTGAATCAATTCGGGACATCAAGGCAGCCAGAACAGTACAGACAAAGACACTCCCATAAGAGGACCTCACAACTGCTTTAGAAGCATCGCAAGAACAATGGGGTAAGTGTGTTCAAAGCAAGAAGTGTGTTGGAAGGATTTAATAGCAATGTGTCTTTTACTGTTGTTTTAAAAAATGTAAACATTTGCTATATTTTTCATACCTCTCAGTACTAAGCATGATTCTCAACAAAATCTCCTGGAATCAAACCGAAAGTAACCAGAATCAAGATGCCACACACTGAGAATTTTAGAACAGCTCTAGGCCGGAATTTCTGGCCAAGTGTTATCGCAACACCGCATTAGGCTAAGCTTATGCCTAAGTGACCTGGCTCTTTAACGCAACCTGGGCCAAGGCAGGCGCAATGGCACACACCTGAAAGCACAGCACTTGGGAGGCTGAGGCAAGAAGATCACCTCGAATTCAAGGCCAGGTTGGGCTACACAGTGAGTCCAAAGTTAGCCTGAGTTACATAGCAAGACCCCGCCTCAAAAAATACAAATAAAAATAGAAAATCCATCCCAAGGAGAGATGGGAAATTACTGTCTAATGCACACAGAGTTTCTATATGGGATGATGATATACGATTATGAGGGAAATTAATGCCATAGAATTATACATAATATAGTTAAAAGCACATAGTTTGATGCATATAGTTTATTATAGTAAAATATAATTTAAAAATAATTTTGTACCCGTAAATTTTATTTGTAACTTAAAAGCTAAAATGTGCTAAAAGAACAACTTCAGTGAAGTGCGGTTTCCCCATTCACAGGGGACTGGCTAAACATTAAGAATGAACTCTCGTAATCCATTTGATTTATGAAGACAAGCCTATGCTTGTTGTGGCCTGTGTCTAGATGTTCCCCCAAAAGCCTCATACAGTCACAAGTGGGGCCTTTCCAGATATCTGAATCCAGAGTGTGTGCCTGGTTCATGGTACAATACTAAGATTAAAGGGGCTAGGATTAAGGGGGGTGTGATTACAAAATCTGCCCGCTGACTGGATTGGCACAGCCCGACTCTCGATAGCCCAGGTACAAAATAAGGGACAGAAAGAGGCTTGTCTTCCCTTTGTTGCCTTGCTACAGCATGCCTACCAAGAACTACCAAGCCATCCTGCCTTGAAGCCAGCTGATCACAGACTGAAACCTCTTCAAGCTGTGAGCTAAACAAATCTATCCTCCCTTAACTCTGGGCTTTGGGCAGTTTGTCTCAGCAATGAGAATGTAAACTGCACACCCAGCACCAGCTGAGATGTTAAACTTTCATCCCCCAAAGGACCCCAGAGTGAATCTGATACAGGTGGCATGCCTTATCAAAAAACTCTGCCAGCCACAGTCGGTGCACAGAGGGGCTTCCTGCTCACTTTAGAAAGCTTTAAAAGAACTCCAGTCTAAAATTGTTTGACAACAAAGAGATAAAAGCTTAATACTGACCAAGTTGTTGCACAGGAGAAAAAAGGGAGGGAGGTGTAAGGCAACTGAAGTTGAACTAAGTTAAAAAAATGAAAAGAACTTCATGTTAGCTTCTTTCCAAAATATAAAGCTTAACCAACATGTTCTTAAAGAAGCATATGATGGTAAAATAGGCACTCAGTGTGCACCCTGTAGTACATACAACACAGAAAAATTACAAGAAAGCCTGATCACTCTGGAATTTTCACCTAGCTTTCAACTGCACTCAATGGCCAAGTCTGGTACAAGCATAAGTTTCATAGTTCTGCATCTTTAACTATACTGGGTTTAAATTACTGCCAGGTTTGGTTTTCCCCTTATCACAGGTAACTGAGTTCATGGAGTGTGGAAGAGAAGGCTACTTTGGAAAGTACAAAACGAGACTGGCTCAACCATCCCCATTATTGATTGGATTATTATTTTTTAAGTGATCCAAAATGTTTTGCCAAGCAATTCAAAGCGCAGCACCGTATTCCTCACTCACTGAAGGCCACTGGAGCCCACTTACCTAATGTCCACGCGAAATAATACTTGGGCTTTGCGGCCTGCATGACCACATATAAATAGAAGAGCCGCGTCAGAAAGTCTGCTTCATGAACAAACCAGTCGTCAGCAAGGCAGGTGATGGGGAATGTCTTTGTCAATGTCAAGAACAACAGGAGAGACACCAAAGTGACGCACAACTTCTGTATCACAGCTCTCTGCAAACGGGAGAAAATCAGTGTTACCACTTAGATGGCTCAGCAACAAGGACAGCGGTCGGGGGCCAGGGACATTAAGAACACTTGCTCCAACAGCAGTTAGAGCATTATCGTGGGAAGGAGGAACAGGTATTCCCCCTCCTGACACAAAACTGTGGAAGCCGAGTAGGGGGTGTGTTTAGATGCAGAATTTACAGCTGAGACTGATTGTACGCAGAATGGAAGCAAATTTCTTTCAGCACACCCTACCTAAAAAAGGTGAGACTGTTAACCTTGGCATATCAATTTCTCCAAACTCAGAAGCTACTAGCAGATTAGTAAAGCATGCTCTTAGGCATGTGCCCAGGTGAGTCACGAAGGCCCCTCTCCTGTCCCTCTCTAAAACTTCTTCCCCAGCTCTGCTTCTCAGCCAGCTTGCTGTCACTGCCTTCCTCCACCTTTCTGACCTGCAGTTAGCCAGCCTTGCACTGAACCTTCTGAGACCGTGAGCTCAATGAAACCTCTCCTCCTTTAAGCTGTGGTGTCAGGCAACTCAAAAGGTAAGTGACTTCGTTACCTAAAATATATGAGAAGTGGCCAACATCACAGGGCGGCCACTTTCCACCAGAAAGGGGTAAATGTTTGCCTTCTAATTCTATAGCCAGCAGAGTCCCAGAAATGGGCTTGAATCAGCAGCCAAGAGGACAGAGGCTCAGTACCAGGAACCCTGTGCAGGGGACTAAACACCTGAGCCACCACGTGACCAAATACCTGAGCCAGGTAATGCAAAACTTTCGCCTTCTAGGATGGCTCATATATTCTCTGTCCTAGGGTTAAGAGGTGCTCTGTTTTTAAATTCCTCTGGACATAGTGGCTGCTCTCAGCTTCTGTAACATTCCAGGAAATGTCACTCTACAGAGTTGTAACTTTTCCCTTTGTGAAAACAGACTTTGAGTTATAATATGGCATTACATCATCCCCTTCTCGGAGGGTGAATGGAGGATTAAGTGAATGAATATTTACAAGGCACTGGAGATAGATCCTGGCTCCCAGCTAAAAGAAAATTTCTTTTTGCTCCACAAAAAGAAATTGTACTGCAAAGAATGTCAATACTGGCATTTTAAGCAAATGCTTAAAAACTGGGGGAAAAGCTACTCCCTAAACTTTTGTCTTCTTCTCCTTATGGTTTTTTCCACCTTGGTTTTCTAATTACAACAATTACTAGTGAGAGTTAGGTCTGGCAGCGAAACTCCATTCTCTGGACTTCTGAGGAAGCACGTGGCACTAAGCACTTACATTAGGAGAAGGCTCCGGCAGGCTGTGGAAACCTCTGTGCTTCCAGTTCACGCCCAGCAACTGCATGTGTATGTGTCTCCCTTCAATGAAGGCCACGTAGTCCTTGAAGTTGTTACAAGGACCAGCAATGACGCTCATGAAATTGAGAAGGTAGCTTAAATATTCCAAAAAAGAAGGCTTCACTCTGAAAATGAAGTTTAAAAGCTGAAAACTTTTCAATCCTTGATTTTGTTCAGAATACACAAACAACTGGATCATATACACAACAGTTGTCTTGGTGGGCTATTATGTGTGATAAGGCCTTCCTCTGTTCTCTAGAAAAATCACCTGTAGACTTTTTTAAAAAATAATTTTATTGAGAAACAAATAGCAATGAGACAGTTTCAAAACTGATCAGGACAGTTTCAACAATAAATACATTGCACAGTGTTGTCTCAGTGGTTATTCATTGCATAAGATGCAGACATGTCATCCTGTTCATATACACTATTAGAACAAATCTTCTGATTCACTGAATTAAGAGAATGTAGCTGTATATCTATCCTATTTTGAATATACAGATACAAAATGGTCATTCATTTGTATTCCCTTTTTTGTTTAGTTTTGTCAAAAAAGACAAAACTAAACAAAATTCCATTGTCACTACCAATTTGATTTGAAACTGTCTCAATGCTATTTTTTTCTCAATAAAATTATGGGAAAAATATTTAAATTACCTGTAGACTCTTGTGGAAAGGCAAAGTTAATGAGGCCCGTGGTCAGAGAAGACTGTGGGCTTCGCCCTCTAGTGGTGGTGTCGCTATACAGGCTGGGGGCTGGGAAGGCCAGGACTACTGGGGCTCAGAAGTGCTCTTTTCTCTGTCCCTTACTTGTGTACAACACACAATGAAGGTAACAAATGTAAGGCAGGGTGAAACCTGAACTGTTAGCCGATGGGATACTTTGAAATGGGGAAACTCGCTCCTGACAGCCAAGATAAATACAAAACAAAGGCGGAGTGGATCCAGCTTCCACTGTGAGGAGGCCACGGCAATGCATTGTCTGCTCTGTCATCCAGGCAGGAGGGCCTGTGCAAGAAATCAAAAGTGGTGGCAGGGAAAAAGCTCTCGCAAGAACAGAGCAGCCAGAGCTGGGGAGATAGCTCGGTAGTCCAAGCGCCTGACTGCCAAACAAAAGGACGTGGGATGGATCCCTGTACCACATGCCACGCTGGGCCCCAAACCCCAGGCACAATGTGGGGGCCACCTAAACCGGGCGTGGTGACGCACACCTGTAATCCCTGCACCGGGGAGGCTGAGACAAGAGGATCGATACAAGTTGGAGCTGCATAGTGAGGCCCTGGGCCAAAAAAGCAAATGATTAAAAAATTAAATTAATTTTAAAAATTAAAGAACTGAGCTGCAGTTGGGACCCTGCTGCAGCGGGTCAGACCTGAGGGAAAGGCTTCCAGAGGCACACTGCTAACCAGCCATGGGGATTATGCCCGCTACTGCACAATGCTGAGGGAAGGACTTGATTCCTTAGAATCTTCCAATGACTGCCCCTTCATTAAGGAAGCAACTGGAGGGCCAGGAAGATGGCTCAGTAGAATAAGCACTTCCCTGGCAAGCGCAAGGGCCTGAGTTCAATCCCCAGTTCTGAACAAAAAAAAAAAAAAAAAGGAAGCAACTAGGTCCCCTTACTCATCCCAGTTGTTCCCTGACATTGTCTTGCAGAAACCCCAGCCAAAGCTGCCCTGACCTCCCTGCCCTGCTGCTCAAGGCCTCCTTCACCCCCAGGGTTGTCTCCTATGTGAAGACTCACGCCCTTCCTTCCTCTCTAACACTGGCCCCCTTTCTAGTGCACCTCAACACCGGACAATGCCCACCTCCAAGTTTCTCTTCTCTCCCAGCCTCATGTATGTCTCTGTCCAGAATTTCTATCTTCTTCCAGCCTTTGGCCTCTTAACACACTGACATGCATGAAAAATCAGCTATTTCCTGAGGGCCCCAGACACATGCTCAATAAAAATAATTCTGCAGTAGACTAAACAACTGATGAAGGAGAATCCTGTAGAACTAACAAAGTTTTAGATCCATTTACTTCCTGCCCCAACAACACAGCTTCTGGGAACCTGTCCTACAGCTAAACACAAACACATTTAAAATGATCCACTACTTACCATCTGTCAAAGCCAAAGACTGGAAGATAGTCCAAGAATCTATCAGTAACACATTAAATATGTAATATCATATCCAAATAATGGCATTAACCTATAGCCATCAGAAAAATGCGGGAGAATCTCTAGACATGGATATATAGTGGGCTGAAGTGAACTCACTTCACAGCAAGTCGGCGCTGCTCACCAGAGAGGTCTTCAGCCTTTCGACCTAGTCCTACAAAATGGAGAAAAAAAATTACCAGTAAGATGATGGAAGTGAAGTAAACAATCCTGAAAGATTAAACTCATTTGGGAAACGAATTATTGCTGCTTCATAAATCATAAAGAATCCCTCTTCTTCATTTTTTAAAAATAGCCTGTGTGGGTCTGGGCCAGGGCTCAAAGCAGAGTGTGTGCTTGGCATTCACGAGGCTCTGGGCGCCATCCCCTGTGGGTGAGGGGCCATGGAGGGCCTGGATCAAAGTGCTACCTGGAAGTCACAAACGTGCACACTACAGATTCCTAGGAAAAGGGGAGCTGAGTTCAAAGGTTCCTTCTGGCTACTGTGCACAGCCTTCCCCGTGTCCTCCCTTCCCACTCTATGATTTCACTGCCACGGCAGAGCAGTGAGCTTGTGGTGGGGAGATCATGTGGAAATAATGAGGACTTTCCTCCTCCAAGCATAAGAAAAATGTTTAATTTTTTCTTGCATTTTTTTCTCTTTCTCTCTTCTTAATTTCCTAATGACTTGTTTTCTTTTTCTTTTTCCAATTTGACATGCATATATCTGGTAATCTATACAACTAAGTTAAAGATAACTATGCAATACAACAAATATTGTCAAATTTTTTTTAAAAAAGTAACCTTGAGTGCAGGAAAAGCACAAAGGGATTAACAGATTTTTTACTTCTTCAAATCCATCTGCAGCAGACCAACTCCCAACCAGATCACATATGTGCGTCCCATAAAGTTTACTTATTAAACTGGAGTCAGAGCAACTGAAACACTGTCTTACAAGCACTGTAAGACAGCCCAATCAGTAGCGATTGATCATGGTCACCAACCATGGAAAATTCAAGTCGTGCTTGAGAGAAGATGGGGTGCTTCCAGAATCTCCCTGTTCCTCCCACACACAGGAAAAATAGAAAAAGGCAAATAAACATTTTGCTCCATATAAAAGATGCTCCAAAAAAAATACAGTACACTAAGAATATCTGAGGTAAAATTTGGCAGGGCACCGTGGAACATCCCTGTAATCCCAATACTCTGGGAGACAAAAGGACTGAAAGTTTGGGCCCAGTCTGAACAACTTGCAACTTATCAAAACCCTGCCCTACAGTAAATATAAAAATATAAGTATAAAAAAGTTGGAAGATAGCTCAGTGGGTAAGATTTGGGTTCAATCCCCGTTACTGTCAAAGAGAACAGATTCTTTATTTATTTATTTATTTATTTTTGAGAACAGATTCTTTAAACAGGATATGGTTGAACATGCCCATAAGCCCAGCTATCTGGGAGGCTGAAGGTCTCAGCAAATAGTACATATGCGGAAATGTTAGGAAGTAAAACAATTTAGCTAGTGGTTTATTTTTCAGATGTTAATCTACAGCTACAACCAAGCTGAGTTTCAGTATGAACAACTCACAAACACTTTGGATTCTTTGACAATGGCACTTGAAAACCTCACATTCTGGGAAACTCAGTAAGTGAACCAGGATGGTTGGTTACCGGAGAAAAACTCCCTCCTTGGTATAAAATTATGGAGCTCTCTACAGAATGACTCAAGCACCAAGTATGAAGTAGGAACACCCTGGGTCGAATGAAATTTAATCAGCTCCCAATGTTTAAGTAGAAATAAGAAAGCTAGCTATCAGAGATAAACCTTCTCAATCTGTCTACATATAAAGAGATTTTAATAGTCAGAAGCATTTTCCTGAGCAGTATAAATCCACAGATTATACTTTTACTAATTGAACCTGGCATTTCTTAAACCCATATTGAAAACTTCTGCCCAGCTGAAATAATCTTCTTTCCCTAGGAGCTTAGTTTTAACAGTGTAAATCACATGTTCTGGCCATTTCTAGGAAGTGCATAAGAGGAAAAAAAAGTTTAGTTTTGTACAAATGGAAGATTCTTCCTTGTCCCAGCTTTTCATAGGGTCAGGCTAATCTCATTAGATAATTTTCTAAGCCAAAACATTCACATTAAAAAATGATTAAGCAGCCAATGCTATTTCATTTTTTATTACCTTGTAAGCTTTTCAGAGATTAAACTGAAGTAAAAGGCCATTTCTTAACAGATTTGGAAAAGAAGGTCAGAAAGTGTCACAAATTAAAACACTACAAAAATAAATAGAAAACCCAGTTCTTGGAGCACATACAGAAGACAGATTCACATGAGAAATAGTGGATATTCACTGGGAAAGAAAAGGGCTATGATTAAAGAAGTCTAGAAACTCTGAAGAAGATAAAACAGGATCTGGCTGCACTGGGCCACATTTTGGACGGCATGTCTACACGGAAAGGACAGCCTACGTGTCAGGCTCACTCTGAGAACGGAAAGGGGAGCTGCCTTTCTCACCATCATGAACCTGAAAAGCCAAGGTGGTGATCTTCTGGGTGACAATCATCAGAGGCCTAGAAGGATAAAAGCAAAATCAACACTAGCACAAAAAGAACTACATTCTATTTCTTTGCATGTTTTTTCACGTTGAAGTTCGTTAAGCAAACTACAAAAATTTTGAATTAAAAACATTCCATCGTTATTTCCCCCTCCAAGTAATTTTTAATAAATAGATGCAACACCACTGAGTACTCAGATCCCCCTAGACGTCCCTCGTGCCCTGAAGCCTCAGGGTCAGGGCTGATCCAGCAGCAGCATCGCAGCATCACCTGGAGGAAGGTAGCCGCTCAGTCTCCAATTCAGACAAGAACACCAGGGTCTACTTAACAAGATTGCGAGAGAAATCAAAGGCACATTAAAGTATAAGAAGCAATGGTCCGGGACACGCCTAAACCCATGCCCTGGCTCCACCTGGAGATTAAGGGAGAGAAAGAGGAAGATAGACACAAGTGTGTGTTCACACTCACACCCACACAAGAGAGCACACAGTGTGTAAAAAACTACACTGAGTGCTTAAGTTATTTTTTATTTTAAGTAAAAGATACATAGACACATAGCCATTAACCATCCTCCCACTTCAAATACACTGATCCCATCATTCCTGCCAATTTCTGAAGCAGCTCTGGAAGTCCTCTTTCATGACTGTCTTCACAAAATGTGACACAAAATGCAGTGAACGCTGCTACTGAGTGCTGTCTAAGGGAACACATTACAGTTCATGCAATGTAGTAGCCACTGGCACTCTGCTACAATCATTGTCGGAAACTGTGTATAATTGTTTTTATTATTTTTTATTTAAAGTAAGAAAGCACAACACTGCAGTGTGTCCTCACTCTCCTCACCCGCCAGCTCTGCCACTGTGCAACTCATGGCTCTTTCCAAAGTCAAAATGACCATGAAGAAAGGTAAACAGGACAGCGCAACAAAAGACACTCACGAGAGGACTCCCAGAACTGCTCCCGAAAACAGCAAGAATGGTGTGTGCTTGAAGCGAGTACAGGTATTGGGGTTAGGGGGACAAGATGTTCCACTATTTGAACCACCAGTAGTACATACGTGACTGTGCCATACCCCCCAACTGAACAGTCATACATGTACTACTGATGGGCCACAGCCACCTGGCAGCGAGGTACATAAATTACAGCGCCACTGTGAACATGTTCATAGCAGTATGTCTTAAGTCTTTTACAGCAATAATTTTTAACTTAAACACTTATGATAGTTTGTAATCCCATCTTGGTATATATAGTCATGCACTATATAAAGATGCTTCAGTCAATGACCATATATATAACAATGGTGCTGTAAAACTAATATGGAGCTGAGAGATCCCTGTCCCTGGGAGACACTGCAGCCCTCATAATGTCATAATGTGGTATATCATTCACACGTTTGTGATAATGCCTGTATACACAAATGTTATGGTTTGTGTCTAGCTGTCCCCCAAATCTTCATGCAGTCATGGGGCGGACTTCTAGACTTTATGATTAATTCATGATCCAGTGCTGGGATTATGGGTGTGAGTGCTGCTGGGATTATGGGTGTGAGTGCTACACCTGGCCTGGGGCACACACCCTGAATGCAACATAAGAGAGAGAGATAGACTTGCTCTCTGTTGCTGCTGTTGCTGCTGCTCCTCTCATTTGCTCTTGCCGTTTTGACGTTTTCCACTGCCATGAATGCTGCCCTCTGCCATGTGCCACTCCACCTTGGAGCCCGCTGAGTACGGACAAACTCCATACTCCACAAACTGTGAGTTCAATAAGCTTTTCCTTCCTTCATTTTGGGTGTTGGGTATTTGTCCGAGCAACAAGAGAAAAGTAAGAGACAAGACAACAAACCTGCTGAGAAATGCTTAGATACACAAATACCTACCACTGGGTTACAACTGCCCAACGCAGTCAGTAGAGTAACATGCTATACAGATTTGTAGCCTACAAACATTAAACAGGTTACACCTTCTGGACAAGGCATGAAGATGGCTATCACACCTAGCTTTTGTAAAGAATCTAAGATGTTCACACAAGGACAGAATCACATGATCACGTATTTCTGAGAGTGTGCTCCCAGTTAAGTGACACACAGCTGCATTACCTTCTTCATATAAATATGCTCTAATGTTCTTTGCTGTGTCAAAGGCAATCCTTCCATGAACACATAGTAAAATACACATTTATAAAATTCAACTGCCTGTCAATAGCCACGTATTGACAAAATACCAACCTTTAGTCGATAAAAGTCATAATATAAAAACTTGCCTCAGAGATAGTACCCATGTTTTTTAAAAAATGGATTCTAGGATAACTCACTGAGAGGATATTCTAGGATAATTCACTAGAATAATCTTTTTAATGAATCGTGGGGCAACTCAGTGCCTACATAAAAAAATTATAAAACATAATTCAAAAATGGATAAAGAGGGCCAGGGAAATGGCTCAGCAGCATAAGCTCCTGCCTGGCATGCACAAGGTCCCAAGTTCAATCCCAGTAACACAAAAAAGAAAAAAAAAAAAAAAAAAGGATAAAGATCTAAATATATGGGCTAAAATTATATAACTATCAGGAATATAGGTACTGGTTTTCTTAGGCATAAGAACAAGAAAAGAAAATAACAAATTAAATGACCTCATCAAAATCTTATTTTAATGCCTCAAAGGACAGACACCACTAAGAAAGCAAAATGCTATTTCACAGAATACAAGAAAATATTTGCAAATTACATCTGACTCTTACAATTTAATAGACAAATAACTCAGTTTAAAAATGGGAATAGAATCTGAATGGCTATTTCTCTAAGAGGATAAACAAATGGCCAAACGACATTTTTTTATTGAAAAGATGCTCAAAGATAATTAGCCATTGGAGACAAAATGAGACACTGTTTCACAAGTACTAGGATGGTCAGAATAAAAGGTAGACAATAACAAGCATGGTAGGGAGGTGGAGAAGCTGGAACATTACTCACTGCCTGTGAGAATATTTAATGGTCTGACAGCTTTAGAAACAGTATAGCCATTTCTACAATGGTTAAACAGAGGTACCTTATGACCCAGGAATTCCACAACTAGGCATATATCCATGAGAAATAAAATGTCTACAGAAAACACATGCATGAATATTCAGAGCAACATTACTAATAACAGCCCCAAGAAATAATCTAAACATCTACCAACTCATGAAGAAAGACAGTGTGGTGTGTCTACACAACAGAATATTACTCAGCAAAGAGAAGTACTGACACAGCATACAAATGGATGAACCTTGGAACACCATACTAAGTGAAAAAAGTACAGTGTGCAATTTCATTTATGTAAAATCTCTCCAATAGGAAAACCATAAAAAAAAAAAAAAAGATTGTGGGAAATGAAGGATGATATGTGAACTTCTTCTGAACGGGGAATGAAAATGTAAAATGAAGTGTGATGTTCTTCTGTGTGAATTCATTTGCTGAATATCCTAAAACCATTCAGCTGCACACTTTAAATGATGTACAGTATGTGAATTATACCTCAGCAAAGACAATAAAACATTCGAAAGCTGAGCGGCACACACTGGTGTATGCCTGAAGTCCCAGCTACTCGGGAGGCTGAAACAGAAGAAATCATTTGAGCCCAGGAGTTTAAGGCCAGCCCGAGCAACACAATAAGACCACATCTTTAAAAAAAAAAAAAAAAACTGGAAAAAAAAAAAAGTAAGATAAAATGATACCCATTCTCCTAATTTTTCTGCCCTAGGTTCATACCTTTAATAACTCTACTGTTTATCTAAGTTCATTCAAGCTGTCATAACGAAATGTCATAAATGAGGTGGCTTAATTTAATTCTGATATTCTGTCACACTTCTGGAGGCGGGAAGCTGAGGTCAAGGTGCTGGCAGAGCTGAGGAATTGCATGCAAGATGGCTCTTTGGTACCCTCCGTGGTAGAAGGGTACAGAGCTCCCTGGGGCTGCTTCCGTAAGACCACTAATCGCCCTCCTGAGAGCACAAGCCTCACGACGTAACCACTTCTCAAAAGCCCCACCTCCTCACATCATGACCTTGGAGATGAGGGTCACATATGAATTTAGAAGGGGACATAAAACTGGGACGTTATTACAGTTCAACAAGTCAAGAGAAAATCCCATTGCCCTGCCCTGTTTTCCTTCAAGTCTTAGTCTTGCCGGATTTTCTGACCTCTATTCTTGAGGCTTTTTGGGTAATTTACAGTCTTTGAGCCCAGCTGCTGGATAGTTTCCTTATTTACAAGGACGAGGCTTGCTTCCTGTCCTATGACAGCCTCGTGGAGTCATCTCAGATGCCACACAGCCCCGAGTCCTGGGGGAAAAGGGATGGGTGTCTGGGTTCTGCCAGAACTGGTGAGAATAACTACAGCAAACAAGGCCACCAAGTCACCATGTGTACCAAGACATGATCACAGATGACACTCATTTAGAACAACCCTTTCATATTGCAAAGATAATTGCTTTTCCACAGTACTCAGGTTCTGTCCTACAAATAAGGGCTACAGTACATAAAGCTTTTTCATAAGACTACCTTGATCTTACAACCCAATATAACACTGTAACTCACCCTTTTGGTTTTCAAAGAGATCTCTGGCCCACAGTATGTAACAGAAGCCAAGAGCTTTTTTCTTAATAGGGATCACTCTAGACATCACACTTAAAGTATTGTCCAAAAATGGTCTTCAAAGCATAACAGTCTTCTTTCCAAACACATTCTGTCTTTATTTTCTCTAGAAGTTTGGAAGCCTTAGGAACCAACCTTCTGGGGCTGGGGAGAGAGCTCAGTAGAATAAGTGCTTAGTGGGCAAGCACAAGGGCCTGAGTTCAATCCTCGGTTCCGGGAAATAAAAAAAAGGAACCAACCTTTTAATGCATGGCACACTCTCCAGCAACCACATTATCTGCAAACCATGTAAGTTTCTACCATGTACTGAATCCATAACTCCATCCTAAAACCTTAGAATACAGTACATACCTCAATAAAGAGAATGTATTACGGACTTAGCCTACCT